AAGAATGAGAGAAATAAAAAATAAAGGAAAAATAGAAAAATTAAGAAAAAAGATACAGCGTAGCTTTTGATTTTCTTTCCATCGGTATAAGTTAACCATATAGTTAATTTGTATTTGTATTTCGTATTGCCAGACACGTGGAGACTTTAAGATTCTAATGCAACTGTGGCTTCCAAGGATTTAAAAACAGATGAGCCAAAGCCCTCAAATACAATTTACCTTATCAGAATTATATTCTAAGCCAAAGTTCTCAAACATGATGGCTGGGGAATTCTGGGAGTTGAAGTCCACACATTTTCGAGCAGCACACTTGAGAAACACTGCTTCAAGGAGTATGGATCTAGTATGGATCAGTATAGTAATAAAAATCTGAAGTAGTGGTAATAGAGTTAAGCAGTGCAAAAATAAAATAATTTAGAATTTAAAATAGAAAAATTAGGCTACTTGGTAGGTAGAGCCCTGGTGGTGCAGTGGTTAGAATGCAGCATTGCAGGCAGCCTGGAGCACTGCAGGCTAACTCACTGCTCACTCCAGGAGTTTGATCGGCTCAAGGTTTACTGAGTCTTCCATCCTTCTGAGGTCGGTAAAATAAGGACCCAGATTGTTGGGAGCTGACTCTGTAAACCGCTCAGAGAGGTTTTACAGGGCTGCAAAAAGAGGGCTCTAAAGCACCGTGAAGCGGTATATAGGTCTAAGTGCTATTGCTATAGTTAGCTGAAGACATATTCTTAGGTGTCTGCAGAAGAGGGTCAAGGCAGGGGAAATGAAAAAAAAACTACTAAATAACACAAACTCAGCTATTGATGGATTTAGATAAGATGGTGTGAAAGGGTGGAACCTGCATTGTAATGTCACTGACGATGCATGTTTTGTCTCTTTGCCATCATCATAGTTAACAATGGATGTCTATGGATATTCTGTATTTGGTTAGAACCACTGAGTAACAAGGAAGCATTGCAAAAACTAGGTCATATGTAAATTTTTATAGATGGGCACATTTGCCACAATAAAAATATTTACAGTTGCTATTTACAATGGAATGAAAGCCCCCTCCTCTGGTAATGGGAGCTTTTTCCCCATTGTGGATAGCAAGGAGATCCGATTCAAACATTTTGGGGGCCTGGGGAATGGGGAAGAGTTAATAGGTCTCCATTTGACTCTTTACTGACTATCACAATTTAAGGACAAATTCAGTGACAGATACTTAAATGGAATTTTCACGTATATATGTATTTTATATTGTACTAGCAGCTTCTTCTCTAGAAAGAATCCCAGGGCAGTGTGTACATAACAATAAAAAAGTGAAAGTAATACAGCAAAAAGCCAGTGCACACATACAGTACGTTGCAGAGGCAACAAAAAGACAAGGTCACTGCTTTCATGCTCCAATTAGCCATAGGCGAACCATAAAAAGAGCCATATGCTAATCAGCCCTGAATCAATTTGAATTGGAAATTCAACATTCAGAGCTGGCATGATTCAACTGGATTTTACAGTTTGCGATTCCTGGGCCCACCATTCAGTTCAAACCTCTTTGAGATTTTAAAGTCAATTAGAAAAAAATTGCCATAGGTTAGAATTGGAAAGCATTAACGTTCTTAGAAATGGGATCTTTTGGGGAGGGATAATATATTCCTTATAAGGCATTAACTCCTGCCTACTTTTATGGTAGTTGTATAAAGGATTTCTCTGCAATATTTTTTTTTTCAAATATTCCTCTGTCCTTCCTTCTTTTAAGGTAGAGATCAAGGCTTAGGTCTAGGACAAGTAGCTCAACAGCCTCCAACTTGTATAACTCAAAGCCTAATTGTTTTAATCAGCAGAGCATGAGGTCTACTCCAATTTAAAAACAATAATTGTTCAAAAGGTTTTCTAAAAAAATAAGGCCTTCATTTTTCCACTTACTTTTCTGGGATTTAGGTTGGCTTGACCCTAAAGATTGACCATTAATTTTCATTCGTGGGATCATTATTTTATTCCCTCTTATTACAATTTTTTTTCCCTGTGGTATGAGCAGGATTGACATAGCTGGTTGACAAGTTCATCTTCATTGTTGGTTTTGATGGGGTGGTGACTACAAGGGGAAAAAATCTATAGAAATAATTCCTTAATTGGAAAAATTGAAAGTTTCCAAAATTGTTAAAACCTTTCTTTTTTTTTTTTGGCCTGCATAGGAAGAATCTTTTGTTGTTCTTAAAATACTATCACAGAGCTATATTGGTAATAGTCTTAAGATATGTCTTGTTGACAGTACTTTTTTAGTGGCATAACCTTACAAGGAATTTTTGATATCAGACTGATGTTTTTTTAAAAAAATGGTATAAATGTGTCTATTATACAGCCTACACATACATATGTAAATTTAATCTTTAAAAATGTTAAAGTGGACAGGACAAACAAGTGAGTGAGTGAGTCAGTCAGTCAGTGATCGATCAGATGCAAGAAGTCTTATTTTGACAGTGAAATGTGTTCTGCACTTGTATAGCTACAAATTCAGTGATCATTTACAGTGCAGGGTGAAGGAAATTTCCAGCCCTCACAGCACTCCTGCAGTCACATGAACAAAATTTGGGTGCCTAGTAACCAGCTCACACACGTAGACAGTTGCTGTACCCCACAATCACATGATCACCAATTGCAACTTCCCTATCCCCAAACAAAATCAATGGGAAGTTGGCAAGGAAAGTTACAAATTGCAGGGATATGTCTCCACCCCCCATCCCCACAGCCTTTGTTCACTCATCCAAACTGCTCCCTCTTCCCCCCCCCTTTGCTGCCCCCCACAACCTCTTTTCATGACCTCATTTCAATCACAAACATGCACACACTCTGTGCCCTATTCCTTGGTCTCCCTCATATCACTTGCATCCTGCATCCTCTTTTCCACAGTCTCTGCAATTGCACAAACAGGCCTTTCTATAGTCTGTCTATAATCGAATGCACCCCATGCCCTCATTCACCAGCCTTTCTGAGTTCACACCACACAGCATACTCCCTCTCTCAGTCTACACTGGGCCTCAAAAGACCTTTTCCATTTTTGTGGCATTCTCCCCCCCCCCCCGCTTCTTACTTGAAACTTTCTCTGTTTCCTGCTTAATGCCCCACACGTTTTGCACTACAATACAACTGAGACTGCCTGGACTGCCGACAGTAAATGAAGTGGTCACTTGATACAACAGTTTAGGATCTCATTATTTAGTAACAGTAATCCCAGTCCCATAAAGTCATAACTTGAGCATCTATCCTTATGTGTTTGCAACTGTTTGTGAGAGAAAGTGGAAATAATACAAGTGAAAGAATATTTATTTATTTATTTATGAGACTTATATACCGCTTTTAAGTGCAAGCACTCTCTAAGCAGTGTACACCAGTAAGCAATGTATATATATATATTTACATTGCCCCCAACAATCTGGGTCCTCATTTTACCTACCCCGGAAGGATGGAAGGCTGAGTCAACCTTGAGCCAGTGAGATTTTAACCGCTGACCTGCTGAACACAGTCAGCTAAAGTGGCCTGCAGTACTGCACTCTAACTGCTGCGCCACCTCGGCTCTTTAAAAAAAAAAAAAAATAAAGCATTGCTATTTCAGTATATGACCTAATTTCTCAAGAATTTTTGAATAAAATATTATAAACATAAAAACACATATCTATGAATTATAAAAAGTAAAATATGAGTTACTATATAGTGGAATATGGCGCTGAGTTGAGGGGAGAGTGAATCCCAGATGCTAGGATTCTTTAAAATTATCTTAGCAAGATATCTTGAACCAAAAATTGGTGGTGAATAGTTCTGTAAATGTGGTGGAATTTGGTGCTGAGTTGAGGGGAGGAGTGAAATTAATCCAGTTTGGCAAGAATAATACCAGACTCAAGGACCAGAAACAACATGATAAGCTGATCAGAGTAGTATATTTATTGTTGCTCACCTGTGGTAATTGTCAGTTAATAATGATATTGTCAGTAATTATAAATATTAAAAAAATCAGCTATATAGAGTAATACGTGAATGAAATAAGCTTATCTTTTCCAAGCTTTTATGGAAAGTATCAGAAAATTGTTTTTTGCTTTTAGCCATTTATTGCAAGAAGAAATTTGATTAGATGTAATAAAAATTGTCTGAGAAGAAAGATAGGAATTCTTATCTTCCTATGAATCAGCCATCTTAAATGCAAAAACTGGTGCTACTATGCCTCTATATAACTTGTTTTCCGCTAACAATTTTCTGCTGCAACAAATGCAGCTGCAGGAAACCACTTGATGCATTCATTGTTCATTCAGCTGATCTTCTGATTCAGCAAGAATCCCATATATCCTTCTTCAGACAGCAACATAATTAACTCATGGAATCCATTGCTACAGAAGGTAGTGATAGCTATTAATTTGGATGACTTTAAAAGAGAATTGGATAAAGTTATGGAAGACAGATTTATCATGTCATGACTCAGTATCATCTCCATGGAGAAAACAAACACCAATTGCAACAAAGAGTAGGGGATTGTGCATAGCACCTCAGAGGTACCTGGTTAGTAACCATTAGAAACAAAATGGTAGATTAAGATAGAACTTGTTTTAAGGCTATTACATGTTTTCCATGTGTCTTCTTCCAATATTGTGCTTAGAAACCCCCACATTGTAATGCTGTTTCTCATGGAACATTGCAATCAAAAATATTTTTGAAAAGTATAAAGAAAACAAAGTTCATCCTGTTTTCTATTTAAAAAAAATAATCCTCAATCCATGGCTGGGAAAAATGTCATCACTGAATCCAACTTTCATAAACCAGAAAATAATAAAAGCAAAATATATTTCTAGCACAGCATACTAGGAAATATAATTTCCATTCACAATCCTAAGCACTCTGAATTTTAAAGCTATTGTGCTTGCATTTTCCATTTAATAACCATAATTTTAAAATATTAGTAATGCATTATATATGGTTTTTCATATTATTCTAAGACACTTTGCGGTAATTATTTGTATTTTTTTTTCTTTTAGTACAAACAAGTTGAACAGTACATGTCCTTTCACAAGCTACCTGCAGATATGCGTCAAAAAATCCATGATTATTATGAACACCGTTACCAAGGCAAGATCTTTGATGAAGACAGCATTCTTAATGAACTCAATGACCCTCTTCGGGAGGTAAGAAAGCAGTGTTGATGATGTACTAGGAAAGAAAAGCCTTTCTCAATTTGAACTGCAGGAGATTTCAGAAAGTTTATCTTTGCTTAATGCACAGGTTTTTGTTTTGAGCAGTTTTCTTGACAAGATCTTTAGAAGTGGTTTACCATTGCCTTCTTTTCTAATGTCATCCACTTGGCTTTGTACCTAAGGCAAGCAAGACTCAAGGATCCTCCAAGGTTTATAGCCTGGTGCCACTGCTATATCAAACTAGATATAAACTTGGACATATAGTTATAGACAGTGCTTTTTTTCTAAAAAAAAAAAAGGTGCTGGAACTCACACACGTCATACAACCCGCCTTGCCTACCTTACAAGGTTCCATCCAAAAAAGGTGCTGGAAATCCGTTCTGGGCATTCTATGAGAAAAAAAGTCCTGGTTATAGATAATATGTGGAATGTCTCATATCTGATGCCTGGAACCTGCAGGTAGAGTTAGAAATTCATTCCTATGAATTCTTATTTCCAGGTAAAATTGGATCTTTTATTTAAACAGATCCAAAAGTAACCAGTGATGATAGCTCCATGACACATACACACGTGTGTGTACGTGCACACATGCAAGCACATTTGTCTTCAAGTCAGTTTTTGACTCCCAAAGACTACCTGGACAAATCACTGCAGTTTCTTGGCAAGATTTCAGAAATAGTTTGCCATTTCCTCTTTCCTAGGGCTGAGAAAGAGTGACTGGCCTAAGGCCACCCAGCAGAATCATATTTGCTTGGTTTCTAGCTAGATGCCTTAATTACAGCACCAAAATAGTGTTTTATTTTTTTAAAACAACAGAATTATTTAAATTACAGCTCACAGAGTACCATTTGAATATCACTCCAGTATTATTTGCTGAAGATTGGTAAAGAAGGCCATCATTGGAATGGTTCTGTTATTGTTGGTAGAGACTTTTCTCCAGTTCCTCCATAGGTGAAAGCCAGCAGGACAGAATAAAGCATTAAAGAAATAGGAGCTGCTTCATTGTCCCTGTTAATTTTAGTATAGGTTAGTCAACCACATCAACTCTGGAGTGAGCATATTTCTATCAGCCACCACCATCAGTGGAGAAATAGTTCTTTTAAAGTATTCAGCAGGGTATTAAATCCAGCAAGATCCCCTTACTAATTTGGCAAGTTTGAGATGTGATTGGTGCTTCTTCTATAGGAAGATTGCTATGGTCAATAAAATTACATGCAAAGCCACTGAATTGGAAAATTATTAGTGTACCTCCGGTATCCAAGAAGAAAATCTATAGTAATCCAAGCAATTTCAACCTTCTCATCTTCTCTCTAGGTAACATGGTAGAAAGCATCTCAAAGGCTCAGTCCTGTAATATATAATGGGAAGCATGTTCTCATAAAAAGAGTTTCTGCCTTTGTATTTAGACTTGCAGTCACCTAAGCAGTAGCCTGTGAAATCATTAAGTACAGAGTATAAAGTAAAACTAGGCCACCTTAACTCATCTAAGAACTGATGGACTGTGCAACTTAGACAAGTTCAGTTTTTCTCACTTGACTAATGTTGAATGCCAAGGAAATTTCTTTTTTGTTTACAAGAATAATTTTCTATTAGCATTATTGAAATACCACTCTCATTAATTTTAAAGTTCTAATAAAACAATGACAAATGTTACAACTTTCACAATTTTTAACCTTTTCAAACTCTGTTTTCTATTTATCAGATAATGAATTGTATTCCCCTTGCCGATGAGGGCAGGCAATTCAATTAATTAGAGTTGCACTTAGAAAAATGCCACTGAGCTAATAGTCACTTTGAAGAAAACATTAAAAAACAAACAAACATGAAAATGATGAAATGCTTTGCACAAAAAGTGGGCAGCTGGAAATATTAGCAGAAGACTGGATATTATCATGCACCATTAATTATAATTGGTCATTACAATCTTTTGTTAATTATATTGTGTTTTCAGTTGATCTAAATGTGTATACTCAGTAAATTCATTCAGTTGGGCTTCATCGGATATTTCATTCAGTGGAGATGTCATTGCATATTTATGACTTTTGTGGAATTCAAAAAAAAAAGTATTCAGAGAAAAAAAAGATAAAAACCAGCCACTGGAAATATTTTTGATGAAGCCAGTACTGATAGTTGAATCTGTTTGCTTAATACTCTAAAAAATACCTTAGATTTGCTCGTGCAGTCCACTTTCCTTTTCCCCTCTCCCCCGCCAGGCCACCAAGCTGCAAAGGTTGGGGACAGCTGGGGTAGTATATAGGAAGAGGAGGAGAAGAGAAGGGGGAGGTCTTTGAGCAGAATCCTGGGGATCACACAAAATAATGCCATAACAAAAACTAGATATAATTGAACATTTTAATATGGTAAAGTATTAGAAGTTATTAAATACACAAGACATTATTGTATTAATTATTTTATTCAGATACATGAAACATTATATAACTTAGAGTTGACCCTAAGCCAGGCTTCTTTTGATCTCAGAACCACACAAACCAACTCAGTCAAGTAGATCTTTTGTTCTGCCATCACAAGAACATCTATTAGCCAAGAAACTGCTGGGAGATGCTAGTTTTTCATGGATGGACAGCTTTTAATCTGCAGGATTTCAAAATGACCCTCAGCTATAGGCTTTTTTCTTTCACATTTTTTTATTTCATTAATGTGTTATAATGTATGAATATATTACATTTCTTGTAGGTTTTCAGAAGTATGCAACCATAAGCATGCATTGAGTATAAATATTAAAATAGATTCTATTTTCCCCATACTTCCCCATACAGACAGTGCTTGCAAACACATTCATTTCAGTAGTCTTCTTAGTGAAATCATCATAAATTAATTTGTCATAATAATGACCAGCCATCCTTTTAATAATATGCATACCCACTGTAAAGTAGGGAGCAACATGAATCAGTTCGTATGGAGACTGTAAATTCTGGCTGCAAGCTTTTGGATGAGCCCTAAATGGCAGCTGAGACCTAGTCCTAGAGATCTCTGAGTCTTTATTTTTGCAGCTGAAATTCAGTAGGCATAGTTTGCATCATGTGAAGTTGTGTAAACATGGCTAACTGGCTATGTTCATGTAGCCACTTGGCTGTCAACTACAGTTTATAAACTGCAGTTACTGGGTCCACCAACCACATGAAGCCACACCACCTGCCATCTCCAGAATTTTATCTTACTGCTGTTATACATATAGGTGGTATATATAATTTTCTCTAATCAGTGGCTAAATTCTTTATCAGTTTGAAAATGAAATAGAGGCATCATCAAATAAAATAGTATCAGAGCCACCTCAATGTAGTTTGGGGACAATCTGGATATTTAGAGATAAGCAAGTTTGTAAAAGTGCCATTCAGTTAGGACTTAAAATCCAGAACAGTGAATAGAAGCTGAAGCAAAATTAGACCCCATTCTGGTGTGGTATAGTGTAGTTTTAATTATAGGTGTACCATTTCTGAGCTCATTTTACTGAGGTCTTTCAGACAAATTAAAAAAGGGAAATCCCAGCATTCGATTCTGACATGACCAATAAAGGTAAAGGTAAAGATTTCCCCTGTCCAATCATGTCCAACTCTAGGTACTCATCTCTGTTTCTTAGCCAAGGGAGCCAGCATTGTCAGAAGACATTTCCATGGTCATATGGCCAGCATATGGCCAGCATGACTATAAACCAAGGTGCATAGAACACTTACTTTCCCACCAAAGTGGTACATATTTACCTACTCTGCATTTACATGCTTTTGAACTACTAGGTGGGCAGGATCTAGGCAAGTAATGGAAGCTCACCTTGTTGCACAACACTCAGGTCTTAAATCCAGGCTTTCACCTGCCCAGCTGACAAACTCAGTCTTATCACAATGCAAATTTTAAATTGCAATCTCCACATTAGAAAAATTGTCTTGTAAGAAACATTTACTTTTCAATACTCACCATTATATATCCTCCCCTCTCTGTCCTATGCCTAAAAAATCATGTGTTGAGCAGAAATATATTGATCTGAGTCCTGGGACTATTGCAATGGCAAAGAGCTCTTTCTCAGGACCTGCTTTGGAAGGGGCAAGGCCCCCATAGCTTGGATTTCAGGCAACCTGTGACAACTGTCTAGTTGATAATAGTTTTCAGTTGTCTTGGTGTCAGATTGGCTATTATTACAATTAAAAGAGCCAAAGGAACAATGTAGTTGATTTTGAAAAACAAGAAGCTGTCTTAAATATTGTTCGAGATTTAACAAAGAATAAAAATAAATGCTTTTTTACCTTGTAAAATCTCTGAAAATATCCAAATTCAATTCTTTACTGAATTTTGCTTCAGGCTGCAGTGAAGTATGAAATGACATCTGAATCAACATGTAATCTCATGTTTGTCTGATGTAAAAATGGGTAAAAGTTGCAACATGAGCACATATATTAATTAATGGTGGTTAGTATTCATTAAAATAGCTTTAAAATAAAAAATACAATAAAACCAAAGACATAACTTTCTTAAAATTAAGTCAACACTGGAAGGACAACAAAGGATTTAAAAAGTAATTAAGCATAGTTTAATTAAGAAAGCCAGTTTGGTTAGGCACCACGCTAGAAAACAGGAGACTATAAGTTTTAGTATCTCTTTAAACCTGGGTGACCTTGGGCTAGTCACACACCCTCAGCCCAATTCACCACACAGGTGTTGTTATTGTAGGGAAATAGGAGGAGGATGTCACAGTTCTGACAGAGAGAGACAAATAAAGCAGAACTCTGAGGCTTGCAAATTCCTGAAAGAACATGTTTATTAGTAACAAAGTATCAGGACATCAAAAGTAAAACCAAGCCTGGAGACACTCATAACAATTCCCCAATACAAAGTTAATAAATCCTACCCCTAATACAACTTCTTGGCGGGCTTTTTATGCAATGCCCAGCTTGCAGTTTCGGGAGCAGCCAATGAACTTGGTTCCCATGGGATAAAAGTTTATTTAGACTAGCAAAGCCCCTGGCAATCCCCCCTTTCTC